AGGAAATAGCAGCATCATTAATGAAAGCTCGACATGAAAACAAAATGGTTGTTAATCTGCCTATCGTTGGTGGAGTAATGAAGGCATTTGCGAGAGGTGAATGTACTTGTGACAATAGATCATCGTCTTCGAATACTTGGGAAGAATATCTAGCTGATAAATACGGAAAAGGAATATGACACTTTTTTCCTATCGGTATTTTATTATTGAATTAGAACTTTTCAACAGTGTAGGTGTGAATAAACGTATGATAAAAGGTTTCGATGCTTTTGTTTTGTTCAGTTCAAATATCTTGTCGGGAATGTAGAATATGTTTATCTTCGTGCATTCATGAGATAAGTAGTGCCGAAGGCTTGAGTTTTATCAAACACAAACATTGACGTCAACGATATTTTGTTTCATTATATTTTTTGTGATTCCAGATGTCATGCTTTTTGAAAAATCAGCACAAAATATGTGTTTATTGAATCAACCTGATCTCTAACGCATCTACTCACGTTTGCAATCAAAAACATCAATGTTTGATCAAATGATCACATTGCAAAACGAACACAAAAAAGGCATATCCTTCAATTCGTGTTAATGTCTTAAAAAACATCGTGTTTAATAACGATTTGTTACAGATCCATCTGACCACCAGTTATTGTTAGAATCAAGATAAAAGCAGACATCCGGGTGTGAAGGCGTGATGAAAATGTCCTATATTGAGTAATCTTCATCAAACTTGGATGAAATCTTTTGTTGAGATAGAATTCATTCATTACATCGTAATTTAACTGACGGATTCCACAAATAGCCGAACGATGAGTCAATATGAGAATTATCGAGGAAATGAACGTACATCTTCCCTCGCGTTAAATCTAAAACATCAAGAATCAATTAGATACCATCATACCTATTAAAGAGATCGAGTTTACTTGCTGGACAAAATAGAGTTCAAATCTGCATTGAATTTAATTGTGGTTTGTGATCAAAGTAATAAATTAACAAATCGGAGACCTTGACATCGAGTGGATAAATTTGTCCAAGTGAAGCAAATGGTTGAATTGTTTGTGACATCGTCCACCTATTTAATTCGAAAAGTAACAAACTGAATCCAGATTTTCGCCGTGCAAAAGTGAGATCGATAGAATTAACTGTCCAACAAGATTCTAATCGTGATTAAAAAGATCACAAGTGAATTGATTTGTTAAGAGGATGTTCTTCCGTAATACTAACTTTCGGCAAGGAGTATTGGACAATAATATACAACCGAATGTATCACGAATTTCCACAATCAGATTGCCATTTGTTGGCAAACGTCGATAGATGGTTGATTCAGCTGAATGAGTTAACGTCATCGTTTTGGATAAGTTTGGATTGCATCTATAGATCAGTCCAATTCGAACTTTGAATAGAGTTACCATCGTTCCATTTGCAGGATCGATCGAACAAAAAGAACCGTTCATTGGTGGCTCATTCAATTCAATATCGAATGTGTTTCGATGGGTGAACCATTCGAATGAATAAATGACTTTAAAACGCCAATAGATGATCTGTTCATTTTCAGAAAACAAATCTTTCGTTATTGTCAAGTTTCTCGTATTTAAATCTAAAATGTCTGGTTTTCGATCTCGAGAAATAAATAAAGTCCATCGAATTGTTTGATCCGTGGCATTGATCGCTCCTTGATGGATATTCCATGTTACATTCAGAGAAGGTACACAACTCTAGTTGCAGAAAGAATAAAGTGAAAAGTTGTCCACTGCGGTTAACGTAGTGAAATAGCAAATTGGACAAACACATCGATGAAATGACACAACTACATGTTTCAGGAGATAGAACAAACCTGATCATAATCAATGGAGACTGAGTGTATACGATTTCGACCCTCAAAGAACCATTGAATTGTGCAAAAGAATCTTCTCGATGGGTGATTTGTACAAGAAACTCGTATGTCTCATTGATTTGCAATGATTACAAGCGAGGAATGAATGGAATCATTATATACCCATGAGTCTATTAGTAAAACAAATGAACTGATAGTGAATTAGAAGTACGAGTGTTTACATTTGATTTATTGCGAAAGCATGCTTTGGGTTGAGTCATCAAACGAATGAAATGCATCATTATCCATCGTGCTGGTACGGCAATAGTATTCATAGAACCAGTTCTAAAAAAAATGAACGTCGTTTGAAAATTCATAATATAAAAACTGACATCTTTCTTGAATTTGACGCAATAAAGATCTACTGAACAATCGCTAGGACTAAAAATAGGATCTGGTTGATGATCGTATGTAACCATTAATGTATTATATGGAGTAAAATTTACCACAAGAGCTGATCCAACTATGTGAATGTGAAGTTATCGAGATATTTTGATTTCGTCGAATTTTACGAGAGATTGAGGACTGAAGAGTGATGATGGGTCTGTAACATTCTGAAATCGGATGAGAGTATATTAGAACACATTCACTTATTAGTATATTCATACAATAGCAACAATTTCTTGTCTGTTCTTCTTGTGTCTTTTTGTCAATCAAAGTAAGACATCTATGGTTTTTTGTGGAAGTGATAAGTTAGTGTGAACGACATACAACAGTATTGAAAGAGGCAATCACATAAATATGTAATTCTTTTCTTTATTAGAAAAAGGTGTATTCTTTAAACCCACGTGTCTAAATGTGTAATAAGAAAAATCTGAGTAGAACTAACCTGACGAGCAATATCCCGATGAAGCATTTGAGCATACACGTAATTCTACGTCATCAATTGCTGCATCTCTTCCGTATATGCCATTTCCGTAGGGAATTGATAATAAAGCCACTGAGCTAATTGATGTCATAAAGACAAGCCGATGTTTTGACCACGTCAGTTTGTAAAGTTCAAGTAAGTCACCCGTCAACGATTATTATTGCCAGGCCACCGAGGAAAATTTCTCGTTAGATGCATTATCCTTTCTTTGAATTATTATAAAAGTAGCATAAAAATATATTTTCGATAATAAGGAATATCTTGAGAATTATAAAATTAATCTAATAATTTAGTGGTATCTACTACTATTTCGAAATCAAAACACCACTTTTTAACTCTGTGGGTCAATTAATCAAATAAAGACGTAAAATTTATTTCAGAAATAGTATTTATAAGTTAAAGTTCATCATTGAAAGATGAATGGAGTTTTAAAGGGATCACAACACAGTTCTATTTCATCTTCTTTCAATTCAAACTATGAAAGAGGATCTGGAATTGACCTCTGCAGTTTCACATAATAAACATCATGCTCACCAACTCGCTTCAAAGTTAATGAGTATATGGCAATATCACGGTCCATCAATTGTAGAATCCGTTGAAATATATCGGAATTCTGGTGAAAACCGACTGTTAATCTCAATAACATTGTCCGACTTTACGCTTTTTCTTCGCCTCGAAAAATTACCGCCTAAAAAGACATGATTTTATAGACAAGTAACGCTCATCCGTTGGATTCGCTGACCCTTTTCTGAAAGACTTTTCCAAATGCTGAACACATTCAGAGACTTCGGAAGAGAAAAAACGCACTGCGATTGCTACTAGTGCTCAACTGAATCATGGCACTATGTCACACACTAGAATGAATATGATGCAAAAGTCTTTTTAGGAATCAGACCGATTAGCCATTTGTCAGCGAATAATTCTCCAGTACTAACTATGTTAACTGGAAAATTCATCGCTCAACGGCAAGTCAGACGGCCACTCACGGCCAACCATTGACCTTTCTCATATGTTTTTCTATTTTCACATCACGCGCATGGAAATTTTCATAAATGCTTTACTAAATCACTCATAGACGGACGATATACAGTAGACTACTTCAAAAGTTTGAACATTCGCCTGTGTCTTCCAGCGATAAACCGATTGTTTTCTCTCCTGTCAACAAAATGATACCTTGTCGAATATTTTCATTGAGGAATATCCATTCGTCAAATCCCTTTCAAAATTATCGGAAGCCTGGCAAGGTTATTCTAAGCGTACACTTTAGGATTAATCTAGCATTTAAACGCCTAGTTGTTCGTCAACCTCCCTCCGGTCGGTCACTCACGGCTAGCCGTTGACGCACATGATCAGTTTTCATAGTTTTTCCATATAAAGAAGTAGCTCGTTGATACTGAGTCGATCTAGGATCGAAGTTATCAAAACCCTTCGTAACTGTGTAGTTTACAGTACATATTCTATTTCTCTGTTCATTTTGAAGCGCTCATAATGTACAATCCCTATCCTCGAAGCTCGAAAACACATCAATTATGTTCGTTCAAAAACCATTCACTTTAGTTGAGACAGTGATAAATCTCACCTTCCAAGTAATTTTCAAAATAAACGTCTAGTCGTTCGTCGACCTCCCTCCGGTCGGTCACTCACGGCTAGTCGTTGCCATGCTGTCTCTGTTATTCCTTTCGACTTTGATCAACTTCCAAACTGAACGATTGGGTTTTCTTTTATTGTCGCTTCGACAATCATGATCTTCTATTCATCCGACTACCCAAAGAAACTAGATAGGAAAGTCTTATTATATGATTTGCTTCGAAACGAACATCTTTCATAGTGCTGTATGTGTTCAGAATACTGTTTGTATAGTCCACGCGTCTGTAGTTACTAAGATGGAATTCCACCGACGGCTATATCGCTTTGCGTACTACTTCTACTGAATTTCCATGAAAGGACATGATGTATGTAGCCTACAAAGCAAAGATGATACTGTGACAACATTTGTGTATTCGTCAATTAATCTCTCAAACACAGATAGATGACTCATGTATATATTATCATCTTCTCCTTTCTGTTCATTATATCTATGCATCTCGTCTCATAGCGAGTTC